AAAGAATAGTGCAATATATTGTACCTCCAGCAATTGTCATGGTTTTAAGGTGTTTGGCCCACATGAAGACACAGACAGAGAACAAGGAGCAGTTTAAGATGTTTATTTAGGCTACAAACAACAATGAATGGTTTAGAACGGGAGCCGCCAGCGAGGTTTGGAATATCAGCGTTTGGGGCTCAGCAGGAAGAAAGAGGAAACTGATTAAAACTAAGAAATTTAGGGGAATCTGCGTTATTGCTGTATCGCTTACCGCCAGGTACGGATAACCTATCCGTACCTGGATGAGTGGAGGAAAGGGTTCTGTAACTCACAGATTTCCAATGGGAGGTGGCGGCTGAGTGACAGGTGGGACTTGGTGGGGGCCCAAGCAGCACTGCAGTGGAGGCAGGTTCGAGGAGCAGCTGAAGGAACCAGCGTTAATCCAGGAAAGGGGTTCTCTTGTACAGCTCAGGAGCACGGAGGAGGCTTGAGGGGAATACCATAGCAAAATCTGAGCAGCAGGGATTCAGAGACCAATCTTCCGAGCACTGGAGACAGACGAGTGAGCAATCAAGAGCACAACGAACTGAGGGAGACAAGAGACAGGTTAGAACCAGGAATCCAAAACATCGGGTTAACGAAGATCTGTCGACAGGACAGGCCTAGGCGTACCACAACAGTTTAACCCTCTGGCGTCCTTCAGTTGACTGAAACGAGCCGCAGTTGGGGGGCCATGCCCACCCGTCGACAACAGCCACCTGTGGAAGAGAATCAGCAGAGCACAGCACACAGAACCATGACAGTAATAATCTCACTTTTAACACGGTCTGCAAGCAATGTATCATGTTAGAATTCAAAGAATATTTAATTTCTGTTAGGTCATAATAAAACACTTTCTGTATCTTCAGATCAGAAGTTATTTAGTTTTATGAAGTTAAAACCCAAGAGCGGCCCATTCACAATCTTAAGGAGGCCTTTGAATTTCACCCAGACTAGGGTCTCTAAGGTCTGTAACATATGAGTTAGTACCATGTTTCTTATTGCATATGTTAGAGAGACACAACTTTATTTGGAGTCTGAGGATTTAAGAAGCCAAATAAACCATTTTATTTGCTAAACCTGTTTCTGAGTCACCTTTGTGGCAGAGAGTCATTTATTTTATTTATATCATTCATCATTTTATATTATTTTTTTATTTATTTGGTTTTATGTATTTTGATATTTATGTTAATAATCCTCAATAGCAAGTCTACATTATAGATATATTTCATATGAAGAGATGCACCCCTTGGCTATATTTTTTTTCTTTTTTTTTAATAGCAATAAACTTTTATTCATTTCACTAGTTACCGTCCAACAAACAAATAGTCCGAGGTGCCTTGAAAGCACCACATATGACTTCACATCACAACACAATTTTTTTTTATTGAAAAAACAGAATATCAATGACAAATTCAACAATACGTCAATATTACAAGAATATTACACTCACCAGCCACTTTATTTGGTGCACCTGTCCAACTGCTCGTTAACACTTAATTTCTAAGCAGCCAATCACATGGTGGCAACTCAGTGCATTTAGGCATGTAGACATGGTCAAGACAATCTCCTGCAGTTCAAACCGAGCATCAGTATGGGGAAGAAAGGTGATTTGAGTGACTTTGAACGTGGCATGATTGTTGGTGCCAGAAGGGCTGGTCTGAGTATTTCAGAAACTGCTGATCTACTGGGATTTTCACGCACAACCATCTCTAGGGTTTACAGAGAATGGTCCGAAAAAGAAAAAACATCCAGTGAGCGGCAGTTCTGTGGGCGGAAATGCCTTGTTGATGCCAGAGGTCAGAGGAGAATGGCCAGACTGGTTCGAGCTGATAGAAGGGCAACAGTGACTCAAATAACCACCCGTTACAACCAAGGTGGGCAGAAGAACATCTCTGAACGCACAGTACGTCGAACTTTGAGGCAGATGGGCTACAGCAGCAGAAGACCACACCGGGAGCCACTCCTTTCAGCTAAGAACAGGAAACTGAGGCTACAATTTGCACAAGCTCATTGAAATTGGACAATAGAAGATTGGAAAAATGTTGCCTGGTCTGATGAGTCTCGATTTCTGCTGCGACATTCGGATGGTAGGGTCAGAATTTGGCGTCTACAACATGAAAGCATGGATCCATCCTGCCTTGTATAAACGGTTCAGGCTGGTGGGGGTGGTGTCATGGTGTGGGGAATATTTTCTTGGCACTCTTTGGGCCCCTTGGTACCAATTGAGCATCGTTGCAATGCCACAGCCTACCTGAGTATTGTTGCTGACCATGTCCATCCCTTTATGACCACAATGTACCCAACTTCTGATGGCTACTTTTAGCAGGATAATGCGCCATGTCATAAAGCTGGAATCATCTCAGACTGGTTTCTTGAACATGACAATGAGTTCACTGTACTCAAATGGCCTCCACAGCATCGGCGTCGGCAGACCCCATTTACTGGGGCACGTGCCCCAGTATAAATGAGCTGTGCCCCACTATAAATCTCATGAATATTTGCAACAGTATTACATTTTTTTAATGCATCAATTTAGATCATTCCAACGGGAGGAGACGTATATTTCTACTCAAATGCGCAGCAAGTGTGTTGGTAACTCCAAATTGAGGATGTAATAGCGCCCCCACGTCAGCGCATGTCACTGCATGAACTGCAGGTAAACTAACACGCTGCTCTCAACTGAGTTGGATGGGACACTGTGCGGCCACGACGCATTTTTAGTTCTGGTAACGTTTCTTACCTGTCAATTTTATTATTTTCCCAGTAAAACCACATGATTTATAGGCTACTGACTGAAAATTACTGCATTGGTTTGTAGATGGATATCAGAGACAGGGAAGCAGTAAAACAAGATGAGAGAGGGAGGTAAGGTCCCGTGATGAATTAGTGATTTAAGCTTAGCAGTTACATTAGGGACGTTATAAGCAATATGATAGATATTTACATAATTATAAATTTACGTTTTTTTAATGTTTGCTGTAGAGAATGAGAATGAAGGTGTTGGAGTAGGAAAGGGAGGAGGAGGCGAGACTGACAGGCAAGAGACAGGTGAAGGACAGGAGAGACAGGACCATGAAGGTGATGAGGGAGCAACAACCAGCGTCCACAATTAAGAAGGGGACATTAGTGACTTAGGGGGAAAGCATGATGGTCCTAAACAAGTGAAGTTGTCCCACTATCCCCTGCACAAATTTGGAGTAAAAAAACGTTCATTTAATTCAAAATGGTTTGAAAGCTTTTTATGGTTGAAAAAGAAAGCCTTGTCATCAAGGATATGCAGTGTGTTTTCAACTTGCTTGATAACATCATATTCCCAACACTAACACAGGTCATCCAGATCTCCCTCACAGTCCCAGTCTACAGCTGTAGTTGTGAAAGGTCATTCAGTGTGTTGAGAAGGCTCCACACTTGGCTGAGTTGCACAATGGGACAAGACAGGCTCCATCATCTTGCTATTTTATCAGTTGAAAAGGAAGAACTTTCTAAGCTGAGTCACAAGTGATTGACCGCTTTGCAAAAGTGAAAAATAGGAGGTACACTTTAATGCTCATAAAATAAAAGGAAAACTTAGCTCAGGATGAGTTAAACTTTCCCCCGAACTAAAACTCTGTAACCTAGTAATTAATGATTACTTCAGAATGTGTATAAGGAAACATTTTATTTGTCAAAGTTGTTGATGTCTTATTTTTTATAGCTGCAATGTTGAAAATTTTCATGTTTGTTAAAACAAATATGCTTTTACACTCAATATCTCAACTGGTAATTTTGGTAGGAATGTATCAGGGTGGGGCAGTGTGCTTCTCTGTATTTGTGTATGGAAGAAGGAGGGGCATATGCGTTAGGGGGCCAGTGCCCCAGTAAAGCTTTGTGCCTAGCAACGCCCCTGCTCCACAGTCACCAGATCTCAATCCAATAGAGCATCTTTGGGATGTGGTGGAACGGAGATTTGCATCATGGATGTGCAGCCGACAAATCTGCGGCAACTGTGTGATGCCATCATGTCAATATGGACCAAACTCCCTGAGGAATGCTTCCAGCACCTTGTTGAATCTATGCCACGAAGAATTGAGGCAGTTCTGAAGGCAAAAGGGGGTCCAACCCGTTACTAGCATGGGGTACCTAATAAAGTGGCCGGTGAGTGTATATTATTATTTATATTAAAAGAAACAAATAAGATCCCAACTCCTATTAACTCCAATAAAAAATTACAGGCTAGAACAAGGAAGGGGGGAAAAAATAAGAATAAAAAATAATAAATAAATAAAAATAAATAAATAAATTAAGAGGAGGGGACTAACTGAAATTCTTCCAATAAATCGGAAAATGTATTTGCTTTAAGGTTCTGCATCTTCTTCACACATCGGTTGAAGGAGGAAGGTTCGTTTTTGAGAGCAGAGAATGAGAGGGAGCATTTTGCATAGCTATACCTCGGGCGCGGTACACTATGCCTTTTCCACTTAAAATGGCGTCTTAGCAACAAATGTGACGTGACTGGCGGAGACCGATTTTCCTAAATCCGCCCCTGTTTTCAGGCTTATGTTAACTGTAATGACTTATCTTGGACAGGCTGCTATGTAAACAGGCCTTTAGTCCTTCGTTTAGCTATGCTGCGGTTGTTTACACTACACCTTTTCCAACTAAAATGGCGTCTTAGCAACAAAAGTCACGTGACTGGCGGAGACCTCTGTAAATCTTGACATTTTCAATAAAAAAAAAGTCTGATGATGACGTCAGAGAAGCGGTTTAACGGGAAAAAAATGTAAAAAGCATAAAAATTGTCTCACAAAATTCCTAAAACATTTTTAAATATGTGTATTAGCACTCTTTAGTGAGTTAAGGATAGAAATAAGTAGTTTTAGCGCCATAATTACAGCATTTATGGACACCCGGATGTACATCTGTTCGCGCATACGCAGGATGGATCGTGCTTCCCTTCTGACCAATAGACCCCGACTTCCTGGTTAGTGTGGCGTGACGTTTGTTGACGTCTGGGGGTTACGAGCAGCGTTACCAAACCTGTCTTATAACAGGACAGCATTGCAGTGTCGTTAAAGCTCGAGGGAGCTAAAAGAAACCAAAATGCTGCTCTCGACATTACGGACTACTATCGTTTGCGGTTGTCGGTCTGCTGGAAAGGGTTTTCAACAGAGCAGCGTAAGTTGAACTATATTCAGGTGCTACTTGTAGCTAAATAGCAAAATAAACATCAATTCCATGATCGTGGTTGATGAATTCAGTTAGTTTCTTATGTATCATGTTTATTTGATGTATGATTAATTACGTGTAATATTCAACTCCCTAAATGTTCCTAAGTTACCTTTACTTCAAATAAAGCTGATTAGTTTTTCCTGTTGCTATTTAACCACTGCCAGTTTAACAAAAGCTCGAAATACCTTAAAAGTGTGGCGTTTTATAAACCTCCACGAGCGCAGGGATGCTGTTTAAGCTTCATCAGACTCTCTGATTAGGAGGAAATAATATTGTCCTCCAATCTTTTTATTTATTTTTTTTAAATCTTTTTTTCTTATAAAACTTCATTTAACTTTTTTTCCCCTCAGACCTTTGGCTGTTCTCCTCTATACCTTTTATTTAAAATGCTGCTGAATAAAGAAACAAACAATATGAAAGTATGGATTAGGATTGAAACAATTAATCAGATTAATCGTGATTAATAGATAATTGAAATAGTCGTCAATTTATTTGGTAATCTGGATTATAGAGGCTGTAAAACCTGCCTTTAGCTGACAGACAAACTACTTAAAGCATCAATTATACAAAAACTGTGAAACATAAAACAGGTAAACATTTTATATTTAAGATAAAATAGGTATTTTTGCCAAAGTCTTGAATCGATTTGATTTTGATTCATACAGTTCTAAATCGATTAATTTCGATTCCATCTGCTTTTTCAATAATGAAAGGGGTTCAACTATGTTTCAAAGTAATCATGTATTTAATTTTTTCCTGTCATATTAAACACAAAGTGCAAACTTGTAAATCAGACAGTTTAAACTTGAGATGTGAACAAAACTGTCTCAGAAGTGCAAAAGTGAAGCCTCACTTGAGCAAGCAGACGTGACACAGCGGGGACACAGCAGACATGCATGAGCTGCATTATCTTCACTGCACAAACCATATGTGCAGCATTGTCTGTAACAACTACAGGGTGTTTGCTGGTCAGCCCCCATTAGTTAATGTCTTCAGTCAAACTATTGGCTATATTTGCAGCTGCCTGGCTTGAAGTAATCTTGTTGGTCTGTAGCATGAGATGCGAGGCGCCATTCATTATCAATGTAGTGTGAAGTCACCTTAATGTCACATATCCATTACATTATCTTTAGCTGTTTTAAATCCAAAATGGTTCCAGACTTCAGTTGGGACAGCTTGCTGAGCGGTGTGTTACTTGGGTCGGCATTTGCACACGAATGCTCATTTGAATGTTAACATCACGCGCGTCATATAAAACTAATCGATCTCATTCCCTACACATCGATTTTGCACAAATGTAAAGGAATCGATTCAAAATCGATTTTTTTTCTTACCCAGCCCTAGCTCTAACCAGAAGTCTCCATGTGGAAAAGTTTTAGTTTGACCTGGTTTAATTTCACAAAAAGTGTTTATATTTGACTATTCAATTATTAATCGATAAAATAATCGACAGATTAATCAATTTGTATAATAATTGTTAGTTGCAGCCGTAGTATAAATGAATATCACAAGTGAAGACAACTCAAAATACTTTAAAGTATTAACACTTATCTCCATGGCACATTAAATGAGAAGAACAATTAATGATTTGAAATGTTTGTTACTAATAGTATTATTTGATTAACATGAGTGCAGAGACTGGATGTGAGAGAGTAGGGGCAGGATTAAATAAAATCAGATAAGTTCTTTATAACTTTATATATATCAAAAAAAGTTAGAAATGATGAAATGATCCCTAACTTTTCTTTTCCTTATTTCCAGTATCAGCGCCCACAGCTGCGGCAATGGCTGGTGAGGAGAAACCAGAGCTCCATCAGTGTCGAGTCAGTGTCCCCTTCCACCCCAGCAGCATCAAAAGCCGTACCCAATGCAGCAACGAACCGCATAGTGGGCCGCTGGTTGCTCGGCTGCAGTGGGCTTGTGGTTGGGGCGGTTGTCTTGGGTGGAGTCACAAGGTAAAAGTAGCTTCCATCTAATGCTACTTTATCCTAACCTGACAACAGCCAGATGCATGTCTCACTCCGCCTAGCTCCGCTCACATACATCTGGGAACCCGCCATAGGAATTGCCTTTACTGAAGGCTGGGCCTTATCAAAACTCCTTGCATATGATTGGATAAGCCACTTGTCTGTCATCTTTATTGACGTGCTATTTCAACCACTCACACCGAAGCTAACCCGTGACGCTGTGAGAGGAGGAGCCATTTGGTAGATCAAGCTCTTGCCAAATCCGGTCGGGAGAAGGGCGAAAACATCGTTTCCACCAACAAAAGCCTTCAAAGCTGTTCTCTGATGTTCTTTTAATTAAACAATATCAGATAGATTGGACAACACAGAAGAAATAGCAGCATCGATGCTAACGCTTGCTTCCTCAATGCGAGCCGCCATTGTTGTTGGAATCTCACTGTCGCTTCTCCACTCCAGGACACACCCACCCTGCGTCCTGATTGGACAGACCATAAATTCGGTTGGGGAAATCACTTTCAATGAGCGGGTTCCCAGATGTATGTGAGTGGAGCTGGGCGGAGCGAGACATGCATCTGGCTGCTGTCAGGTTAACTTTATCCTGTGGTGCTCTTTAATACATGAAGCGCTGATATTTGTCTCTGTTCAGGTTAACAGAATCTGGGCTCTCAATGGTTGACTGGCATCTGGTGAGAGAGATGAAACCACCTCAGTCTGAGGCAGAGTGGGAGGCTGAGTTTTCCAAGTACAAGCAGTTCCCAGAGTTCAAAATGTATGTTTTGTATTAACGTTATCAAAGCAGACATTACATTTTTACAGTTTTTAAGATGTACTGATTTCACTTTTGTATTCTTTTTTACAATCCTGTTTCTTTCTCTTATGTTAGATTCATTTTGCAGCTATGCGACTAATTAAAAGTTTTACTTTCTAGCCTTAACCATGAGATGACCCTGCCAGAGTTTAAGTTCATCTTCTACATGGAGTGGGGTCATCGCATGTGGGGTAGGCTGGTTGGACTGGCGTACATCCTGCCTACTGTTTACTTCTGGAAAAAAGGATACTTCACTCGTTCCCTAAAGGGAAAAGTATTGGGACTGTGTGGATTTGTGTTCTTCCAGGTCAGACTTCCTTTATTTTAAAAGCAAGTTTAATGTTTTTACTTTATTCTTTCTGTCTATTTATAAAGTTATGTGGAAGAGTTGGCACATCTTTCTCATCATTAAACTGTTGGTGTTATTAGGGCCTTCTTGGATGGTACATGGTAAAAAGTGGACTGGAGGAGAAGCCTGACTCCCATGATGTTCCTCGGGTCAGCCAGTACCGTCTGTGCGCCCATCTTGGTTCTGCATTAGTGTTGTACTCTGCCAGCCTCTGGACTGGGCTTACTCTGCTGCTGCCTGCACACAAGGTACACTGTTGTTTTTTACTGACTGGCTGAGTTTTAGACATTCATTTGACCTTGATTTACAAAAGTTTCTATTTGCACACTTATTTTCTCATGTCATCTCTTTCCTAGATGGCAGACACAAAAAACCTCCAACAGCTCAGAATGTTTGCAAAGGGTACCGGAGGACTGGTGTTCCTAACTGCTCTCTCAGGTGATACACAGAACGTGATGTGAGGTCCTTCCAAACAGTTTAACTCGGAAGCAGATAACACACAAAGACATCAGAATCATTTTTGTTAAGATGACTAGCAAGGAACCTAGAAACTCAAAAATGTATCTCAATTTTAGCACAATTCATTTTTCACTAGGTCTCTTTATCTTGATCTACAGTATGTCATCACTATCATTTGAAATATGTTGCCAAACAACAGTTCTGATTTAATTTATTTATTATAATTTTTTTTTCAATGAAGGTGCTTTTGTTGCTGGCTTGGATGCTGGGCTGGTGTATAACTCTTTCCCCAAGATGGCAGATAAATGGATTCCTGATGATATATTGGCCTTCTCTCCTGCTCTTAAAAATTTCTTTGAGAACCCAACCACAGTTCAGTTTGACCATAGAGTCTTGGTACGTAATAGATATTGTATATTAAATTCAGCTGAAACTATTGCAAACTAATTGACACAGAAATCCTTCTCTTTTAAGGCTATTGGCTCTTTGACAGCAATCACCGGCCTTTATCTATTCTCAAGAAGGATGCTGCTACCCAGAAGGGCGAAGATCGCCATCGGCCTGCTCGCAGCTATGGCCTACACACAGGTAGGCTTTCAGACAGAGAAAATATAAAACATAATGGTACAGAACATTTTATTACAACTAAGCTTCTTTATTTTCCTGCTCATCAGGTGGCCCTTGGTATCAGCACACTTTTATTGTATGTTCCCACTCCACTGGCAGCAACTCACCAGTCAGGCTCTGTTGCTCTTCTGAGTCTTGCCATTTGGGTTTTGGCAGAACTTCGTAAAATGCCAAAGTAAAGCCTTCTTCGTTGTGGACGTAACCGGACCTGCTTAGCCACATGACACGCCTGAACAGTCTTAATCGGCACTAAAATGAACAAGCAGTGAAAAAGAAGGGAGATGATCCCTTATTTAATCCTGAGGTGTTTTTTTCTATGCTGTTTAAGCATGAAGAGACTACTACAATTAGCGAGGACAACAGAATTCTTGTCCCAAACTTGAAGACTTATTATTCCTCAACTCCTCAAATGTCCACCTGCCCACATGTCTGCCCATTGCCTTTCTAATTAAGGTTAAGGAAAGCCACTTGCAAATAAAAACAATATCTGCAATAACATTGAAATTCTTGAGCTTTTATTTTGCCTTGTTTTGTCTTGTTGTAATGGTTTTACACCGGTTGCTATTAGAAGCATTCTGACCCCTTCAATAAATTGTAATCAGGATATATGCACTAGGAAAGTTGGGGTCCATATCTTGTTGAAATTTGAATGTGACTGAGAAAAGTATAACCCTAGGATTTCCATGCTTGTAAAAACAGATTTATTAGGGTTCTTGTGTGTTTTTTTTGTGTCATTTAATGGGTTTTTAAGATGCTTGGGAGGGTCCTATTTTAATTTTAACTTAATAAAAATTGATTTGTTGAACTTTTTAAAGCCTTTTTTGTGACTAGTTACTCATTTTTCCCTGCTAGTAGAACATAAACACATTTGTTTAAAAATAAAATCAATGATATATATATATACATACATACACACACACAAATATATAATATAAATGCAAATAAAATCTATCATAGCCCCCATTCATGATGGTCTACAACTGCTTTGTTTACAGCTGAAATTTGTTTGGAAAACCTGTGATATTCTCATCCCGCAAACATATCCAATTTCACTTTTTTTTTTTAAGGAACATGTTACTTCAGGTAGCTTGCTCACAAATGATTGTGCTAATAAACATTTAAGAAGATTTTTTTGGAACCTCCATCAGACTCAGTTTTTAGAAGGAAACATGAAGCAACTAAAAACATTTTGACACCAAAAAATGACCTAACCCCTGGGAAATGTCAAACAGTAAATGTATTAAAAGTAAATCAACAACTACAATTATCAGCATCTAATTATGAGCCCTACGAAGAAAAAGGCAGAATCCTTTAGAGTTTTTTAGACAACCATCCAGGATGCTTATTTATTTTATATATTTCTAACTTCTTACGGCTGCAGGGAGGATAGCATGGGTAAAGCCGCTGCAGGTAAATGCGTTAAGATAAGCAAAACAAAAGCTCTTCTTTCTCCAACACGAGTAGAATATTCAGGAGAAACTCCAGAACATCCTCCAACCTCTTTTATTGCAACATTGCAGGCTTGATCAGTCTATGGTTTGGGCAACATTATCTATACCATAAATCTCAATGGATGATTAGCAGATTACTCGGACTGAAGCATCTATTAAAAACAAAACACATTTAGTTCCTTTTAGGATTCATGAAAAACTTCATTTAATTGAAGTTGACTGCCAGTTATCTAGGAACTTAGCAAACAGTATTGTTGAAGGAAAACAGAAGGCATCTTACGAACACTAATCTCAGCGTCACTCCATTCAGTGCTGCCACTGTTTGGAAGCAAGGTTCAGAGATGTGCCACTAGATAGAGCAGTTTGTATTCTCAAGCCATCAGCATTACTCCCTCTCACTGCAGCCTCCTCAGAGTGTTCTATTATCCTTTGGATTTTTGTAATCTCGTTTTTAGATAAAACTAATCTTATATTTGTTGTTAAAGAAATGCATAGCAGAAATAAAACTTCAAAGGGACAAGAAGATAGAGTCTTTGAAATTCAAAGTTAAGTCCATTTTGCATAGTAACTTTGATTTTTATTGTCTCTGTACAAAATATACACATTTTGAATAGGGAATACAACCAGCAGCTATCTAACCAGACAATCATTATAACATGTTGGTAACTTTTCATTGTTCTAGACACAGTACATGCGGGTATAGACAGGTTTTACTGTAGTCGGGCACCTAAAAACTGAGCTGAAACACTTTTCTAGTGAAAAGAAATACAGAAAATAAATATCAACTAAACAGAGTTGGGGATATTTTTAAAGAAACTATAAAAAATAGATGGGTGACTTTGCTTTAGGGGGAAACAAGAGATTGGGTGGAAATGGAAAGGTACTGTGATGGAGAACATTATTGCTATTACATGTTAGTCTCTATTAAATTAATTCATGTTTCAGTGCCTCTGGCACAATGTGTCAGAGTTCAGTGATGCTCTGGTATAAAAAGAGACAAATTAAGATGCTTATTTAAAGTATTACTCAACAGCTTATCATGCAGGTTCACAACCTTGAGTTACACTTAAAACAATGAGCAGGCAAACAATATACCTTTATCTCTGAGTGCTTTTTGCCTGATTGCTCCTTACACCCCTAAGCTTTAATTAGCTCTAATATTTCCTCTTTGGTGGAAGAGAACGGCTAATAAGAACTGGTTAATGTGGGCACATGGAAAGAACCCCACCCATATTATTCACATTATACCTCTGTATAGGCTATTTGGGCTTACTTTTAAAATAAATACTTTATAGAAGTGGTAGAACCTGCTACAACCACACAACATTTTTGATAATTTCGCACATACCATCTGACATATATTGATTTTCCCTTTAATAAAAATTGAAAGCCCAGTATGAATTTGATTTAGTCATAAACTGACAGGGTTGGACTGGTCACAAGCTGAATAACTATAGTGCTATTCCCACATTGCACTGGCTAAAACCATTCCTCTGGGAATGCTAAAAATATAACAACAGTCATCAGACAACTACTGCTAGGACTGAATAGTTTGGAAGGCCAGGAGTTAGTCTAACCCTCAAATAAAGAGGGTTTGTGACAGACTGAGGGGACTTATTGTTAGGACAGACAGCATGTCTTCCTGATACACATGCACACACGCACATACAGTAAGGGTGAGGCACCTGTGAATGACTAGGAACGGCAGACAGACGAGCAGACTTTGGAATATCTCTTTAAATATGTAATAAGATATTAGTGACATCATGCGATACTGAAATCAGTTTTTCATAAAAAAAACAGGTTCTTCAACTTCCACCTTGGATCACTCAGATCTTCAAGTTGTTGGTCGTTCCATCAGGTAGTTTCTCTCTCCGTCGCGTCCACCAGGCGGCCAAGGACTCATTTTGATGTGTGCCATTGGCTCCAGGGAGGTGTTCCCGCACCCAACAGAGCCAAGACCACAATCACAAACCCGAATACCAAGACTGATAGGGATGAGGGAGAAAGTTATTTTAGGTCAACATTTTCAGGGAATCTTGATCCGTCTGAGTTCAACTTTTACAGGCTCTGATAGTAGACCGACAATGAAAGAAATGAATAAAACAGCTGAGTGTTCTAGTTGCTGTAAGTCCACTACAAGCCTTCTTTATCTGTTCTCAAGAATAAAACTAAGACGGGTTCTTTATGATTAGCCTGGGAGTCATGGAAACTCCATTGTTGCTGGAAGAAATGCCACTAGAGGTCCTGGAGGAGGGTGATGGTCTCTCTGCTCCCAAAGGATTCACAGTTCTTTGTAGTGACATATGCTCAGGCCTGTATGCCACTCAGCCACACACACACATACACACACGCATTCACAAACTCTTCCTGCCTCTGTAGTCCTGACCTGCCTTTTCCTCCAATACACTCCCACCCAGTGCCAGTAGCCTCACCGGTCCACATCCTTAGATGACATTGTCAAACAGCTGCATGGACTGCATAATGTTCTCATCCTGAAAAGAGATAGATAAAAAAAAATAAACCATAGTTTTTGTTAAGGTGGTTAAAAGTGTAGACAATTAAAAATAAAAGTGTTTGCTGTACCTTTTTACACGAATCAATAAACTCATCTATGGTGACCACCCCATCTCTATTCTGGTCCATTTTCTGAAAGCAAAATAGTGGTCTATTAGTTTCCTAAAGAATGTCTGTGATTATAAAAAAACACAGGAATGCAAAGAGTGGTAAAGTTGAACCTGAAAGAAGCTTTCTACGTGTTCTCTCGGAGCATCATCCATCATGGTAGGGTATGTATATTTTCCCATCATGTCATAGATGCTCTTCATGATGTCTAGCATCTCCTGTAAAATTAAAGTTAAAAACAAACAGAGCAGAATAAAGCATGTAGAGGAAAATGACAGAACATTTCAGTATGGTCAGAAGAGCTGAGAGAGCACCCATGAAGAGGTAACCTGGTAGTGACGTTTAGGGAGAGCGTTTCAGCTACTGAGTGATTACAATTCTTAGCCTTCTAGTGTAGCTCCACTTTGGGCGAGGGCTGTTCAGCTCCAGTCCTAAAGAACATGCGCCATACATGATTTAGATGTGTCTCTACTTTCACATCCTAAAAAAAAAGCGTGTGTTGAACAGGGACCCTTAAGGACAGACTCATGACAGCACTGCACAATGATTTTTGAAGAAAAAAAAAAAACTGTCTTCAAACCCCAGATTCAGAAGGTGGATTTTGGCCGTTCCCTCCATTTAAGAGTACTTTTACCCCTTGGATTTGCTACAAGGATCATGAGTGACTGGTCTGTTTAAAGGACTTTTTGATCATTATACTCTAGAACAAAAGTAAAGTCCATGCCTGAATTTATGCCACAAAGCCTTTTTTTTTTTTTAAAAGCTTGCTGAACTTAGTTAGGCCTTACTCTGGTCTCTCAAATTGTAGCCATGATGGAGGAGGGAGTCTGGTTTAGAAACCTAAAAGTCTCGGGCATCTGGTTAGAATGCCTCCTAGACGTCTTCCTGGTGAGGCATTCTGGGCATGTCCCTCCAGGAGGAGACCCAGAGGGGGACCAAGGACACGCTATGTTTTTCAGCTGTGTCTGGAATGGTTTTTGGCCTGGGAATGCCTTGGGATTACCCTGGAGAGACGTCTCAAACTCCTTATCGAAGCTGCTACCCCAACAACCTGACCCCGGATAAGCCAAAGAAGATGGATGGATGAATGGATGGATGGATGGAACCTAAAGATCTCATCAATTCCTTTTACAGACAATGTCACTCCATTCACCCATTAAAGCCATGACCAGTGAAGGTCATGGATGACATCCTTTAAGTCCCACAAGCTCCGGAATCAGTTTCTAGCTCAAGGAAAGGAGTTCAAGTATCTTGTTATTATGTTTATGAGTGATAGTAGAAAGAAGAGGGAGACCAATAGTCAGACTGAGCCATTGTCTATAAAGTAATACAGGTGGTGCTGTTGTGCAATTTATTGAGGAACAGGGAATCAAAAAAAAAAGTCTCAATTTAAGAATCGGTCTACATTCTGTCCCTCGTTTATACATTCATGAGATATGGAGTATCTCTGAAAAAAACAAAATCTCAAATGTGAGTAAATAAAACCTCTCTAAGGTGGATGGGGTGGGCTGGGGGGGATTCAATTGGATGGGAGCTCAGAGTAGATAAACTTCCTCGCTACATCAAAGGGAGACAGCTAAAGTTTTTTTTTTTTAAAGACCTGCTCAGAATGCTTCCTCATGTCTCCCATTGGAGGTTTTTCAGGCACACAGTGAGAAGAGACTCTGGGGAAAGCTAAAACTTATTGGAGGCATTATACATTACCCTGGAAATGCCTTAAGACTCCCCAACATGAGTCAATCTAATAAAACAAAGAACATCAGATTGCAAATTGACCTGTGTGTGTTACCTCTTTGGTGATGCAGCCATCCTTGTTCAGGTCATAGAGGTTAAATGCCCAGTTTAGCCGGTCATTAATAGTCCCTCTCAAGATGATGGACAGGCCAAAAACAAAGTCCTGATATGGAAGGTAAATTAATTAGGAAGTGCTTAAGTTTTTAAATTCCAAATGAAATAAACTATTTGTCACACTATAGGATCTGTGTGCTGGTATCAAATGAATCAGACATTATTGTTAGTCTGCTGTTGTTGTGCCTGATTTTAGACAAGCCCATATTTGCTTTCATATATTAAACAGATGCAAGAAAAGATCTCACCTCAAAACTAACTGAGCCGTTCTTGTTGGTGTCAAAGGCTTCAAACAGGAAATGTGCATACATACTTGAATCTGCAAAAAAGGAGACTTAGAATAACCAGAGAGTGGCTGAAACATGAAGCCTTTGAACAGCTCTGATTAGCAGTGAGCTAAATATAGAGTAGATATAAAAATAATTTCAAATACGACTGGAGGCAAGTGGTTAACATTTCATCAAACTAAATATCATGAAATAATAGATTGCTCTACTTTTCTGCATGAACATTTACAGATATTGAGCAGAACTGATTCGAATGAGGTAATTTTAAACTACAAATTTTATTTTGGTAAAAAAAAAATGTTTCCAATGAAAGACGTATTTTCTACATTACAGATTCTTTTTTTTCAGTTCTAAATGTCTTTAACAGACCAGATTTAAAAGACCATCAAGTAAAAACAAAATGTAGTTTTCAAAGAATGCCTTTTAAGGCAAAACAGCTATATTTAATGGAAACACATCAGCAGGTCCAAACCGTAGAGGCTGCCAAAATAAGATAAATTACAGTTAGGCATTGGACTGGCCTAATGACTTAAGAATTTGGAGTTAAGTCCAATTCAGAAACTGTGGCATGACCTTAGGCTGTTTATGCTCAGAAATCAACTATTGTGACTGTGAGAAAGAACATTTGGCCCAAATTCCTAATATTTTGTTATTCCTAAAACATTATGATAGTTCTTGCCACTATATAGCAAAATCAAGTTTAAGATTAATGGAGCAGGTTATTTTGGCTAGGGTTTTTTCAGAACATGCATTGTTGTGTTGTTACGCCCTCTAGAGGTCGCCGCTTATCTCAAGAAAGTTTTGGAACTAGACTTAACGAATCAACAAACATGGCTCTGCTCTCTTTCACAGCTAAGCTGTCACAATGTTGAGTTTGTTTGCCCATTAAGTGATACCCACTTTTATACACATGTTCATTTTACTGCCATTCCAGTCATGCAAAAGGTTTTCACTGATAGTCATACCTCATCGAAACTTTTCTTTGAATTGAATTTGTTTTTAATTTTATTAAATAACTTTTTGGCATGGCAATATTTTTGGCATGGTATTTTTACTTCTGTTATCTAAAAAACGGTTTAATGAACTTAAAACTGTAGGTATGTTAGAAACAGAAAAACTAGTAAATTTGTGCGTTGCCACTATTTTCACAGAAAAAAAAAAAATCAAATGGCATTGTCAAAAATGGAGCTCACCTCCCTGAGGAAAGAACTGGGAGTAAATGTTTTTAAAGTTCTCCTCATTCACCACTCCGCTAGGACACTCCTAAGAAAAAAATAAAACAGAGATTGCAGAAAGATTTGACTGTAGCTGAGAATATCAAGTGAACAGCGGGAACCTACATTTTTAAAGCCCCTGTAGAGGACTTGCAACTCCTTCTTGGTAAACTTTGTCTGCTCCTCCAGCTTGTCCATGCTCTCAGGACGATGGCACACAGTGGACAACTCAAAGTCATCTTCAACGCTGTCTGTGTATCAGACAGAGAAGAGTTAGTTTCTGATCAAGCAACCATTAGTATTCTATAATTCAGGGGAATCCCAGGCGTTCCTTTTCCACTAAATATATCAAAAACTTGTGATGATAACCACATCCAGCTTACCTTTTTGTACTTAGTCATTTTTTGTACAAACATAACAAAAACTAAACTTTCTATTTTCACAAATACAAAAATCAGACAAAAGTCAAATAAACCAATAAATTAGTTATATAGATTTATGAATCAGGAAATTAATACAAGTTTGGTTCCAATGTGTGACTTCATTGGGAACAGGCTTAGACAGCTTAATTTTTTCAAAGCAGGGATTTAAAACACTTCTTAAAAATGCATTCTGAAGATCTCACTGTTGCTTTACTTCAATGCTATTAATCAAACATTGAAACCATTTTCAAATCACCCGGAATTTAGTAACTTATAGACATAAATACTGTGTCCAAAAGTACAGTTTTATCCCCAACATAGATAATACATAGTAGAGCTGCAAGTCCCTCAAGAGGTATGTCCAAACAGCACATTGCTGACAATCTGTAGACCCAGTGGAATAACTGAAAGACCAAGATTTATTAATAAATTGGATAGAAAGTTTTCTAAAAATCCAGCTTTCAGAAACCAGTTTTCCTGACTTACTTAAAGAAAGATTGAAGAGTATATTTTACACATTTAAACGGGTACTAAAGTGATAAATGAACATGTGGAGTAAAAGGCTCTGTTTAACTGGATGGTTTATAAGTATGGATACAATAAGCATAACTTTAATTAAATCAGTTTATTTGACCTGTGCTTTATAAAACATACAACATCCAAATGTTCACTTTATAAATATAGTACATATGTTAATTTGTTTGGGAGCAAGACAGCTCATCAACACTTGGTAAGAGTAGTCATAGGCGGTACACCATAACAGCAACTTTTTTTTTTGCACTTGAACCCTATCTACTTTTAAGATTTCCTTTTTTCCCTTTCAACCATTCATCTTTTACAACCTTCTAGGACTTTCTCCTTAACTTAAAAATCCTTTTTATTCAGCTTTTTCTTTAACCCCTCTTCAGATCCTTTCCAATTGGACTTAATCTCTTTAGCTTTCCATACCCACCTCTACATCCCATTCTTCTGCCTTATTGCTTTTTATGTCCCGTGACACCAAGCCTGGCCACCCTAAGCAAATTTCAACAGCTTTTATCTAGAATCTCCTACTTTTGGTAATATCTGTTATGACCAAGTGTAAATAAGAGGGAGAATGTAGACTGACCAGAGCAACACCCCATGACAACAGATGAGATCATCCATTTATTTATTTCCCTATCATAATACCACTTCTGAAAAAAAGTAGCAAGCTACTGCTTCATACAGAACCGGACTGCCCAGTATAACCCACTTTTTTTTTTTTTACAGTCTAGAACCATGGGCTCAGATTTAGAGGGATGAATTCCCACCACTGCTGTGTTGAACTAAGCTGCAAACTGCTCCAGTACAAAGTGAAGGTCATGATTTGAAGATACTAATTAGCATCTTGAGATCATATCAGTGAAAGTTAAAAAAGGAACTGGAGACTAGATAACAGCTTAGTCTTTGACACACCACTTACCTTGATTATGAGGACCAGAGAGCCCATTACCCTGTTCTCTTATAGCACAACCCACAATACGTACGTTGACCAGGAAACCAGAGTCCAAAAACCTCCTCAGTAGTTCCACAAGGCTAAAAACGGCATCCCTGTTCCAAACCCGAAACAAAAGCCACTATTCATGTTAAATTCAAAGCTAGCAAAAAAACTCTCCTTAGTAAACCTTCTTATGAGGGCCAAGGCATTTTATCCTTCAATAGGGGTGACAAGCTCTCCAGCAAGATACATCACCTTGGTCTACCATTCAGCCAGTGGTATCCCCCATGCATCATTGATAAGGTGTGTAAATCACACCTTATCCAGAATCTACAGAGCTCTCGGAGTCTTTGGGTGAACCTCATCAATTCCTGGCACAATAGGGAGCTTTTAAAGTACCGCTGTTAACTTTGGTCTAATCATAGTAAACAATGCATCTTCCTGGGTCTTTATACTCTGCCTTCTCTGTGGAGGACTTGCTGACTGAATTAATGCAACACTTAATTCAGTCAATTACCTTTGAAATAAGCTTTAGCGTATTTTGAGGAATATCAAATGACCTTCAGGGGCTTTATTATAAGCTATTTATCAACCTTCTCATGTCTAAGAATCACTCTACTCCTTCAAATATTTAAGAGGCTTGATAGGAGTTTCCACTAGAGGATGGTATTGAAGCTAGAAAGACATACCGGTACATAAATGTTCCAGGAGATGAAGATGTTTTGGCTTTGATGACACAGATGGTAATGCTTTGACAGAGGACATATATTTTGGGTTATGGACTTAAAAAGGTGTGTAATCTTACCAGTAACCACATGTAGCAGAGCTTCATGTTGGATTAAAAGTCATTTCTCTATCAGTAAATGGAACATGAACTGCATTTCCATTACAGTTTCTCACAAAATAACATCTGAAAACATCAGTTGGGATAAAATAACTGGTTGCCATACATCACTTAAGCATGGCCACACGATTATCCTGTGGCCATGCATTAATAGGAATTATGGACATGGGATACCAAAGTCATGGCCATGTATTACAAATGCATGGAAAATAAATAAATAACTTTTGGCCAGTCAGTACTAATGCATCGATTTACAGCATGTCTGTATGTTGTGCAAAAAGAACTCCTCTTCCAAAAAGATGTTGCCAAAAATGTTGTCCAAAAAGAGACTATTTGTAGATTTTTTTAATAGTCCTGCATCTGACTGGTAAAACTTCTCTGGTTCCAAAGTTAATCCTTATAAAAAAGCCTCACAATTAAAAAGGATAAAAATGCTCGTTGATTTTTTTCCTCATAATCCACCTTAAGGGTATAGTTGAGGATGTTCTTTTTCCAGTTGGATCATCAAAACAAGCGGTCCTCCTAATTTTCAATCATTCTGGGGATATGTTAACGTAAGGCCGTCCTACGAGCTCATACCCATTTTCAACCTACTAATAGTGAGTCTGACATAGTGGAAAAAATGCAAATCTTCTTTTGGAAGGTAAGCTTTTATGAGCTATGCAAACAGCAACTTGCCCGCGTATAACAGGTGTTCCCTCTAGGGAACTTTTGCAGGGTTGTGCATGTGCATTTTTTATTTTTTTTTTAAGTGGAGACGGCGGGTCTGTTCAAACATTTGCAAAAGTCCTTTACTATATCTTTAAGAGTAATCATAGAACTTATTATAAGAACTTTGATAAATACGTCCCAATGGCAATATAGGTTAAAGCCCTCGGCATGGATTGATTTTTAATGCTGACTGCCATTTTCGAAACTTCAGCTATGTAACTCCAGGGGATTGTATCCATTACTTTACAGCACTGAGCTCCTATTAAACCACAAAGCTAACTAGGCAACAAAACAGATATGACACTTACCTGATAATACATATTTTTTTTAATCTCTTGTAAGATTGGTTGCTTTATTTTACTGGTTCAGGGTCAGATTGATATCTAAAATTAAGTTTTTATGCTCAACATAGGCAGATTGCAAGAAAAACAGTTTTAAATTCAGCTAAAGATAACTAAACTAATTCAACATAGTCCTACCACTTTAAACATAATGGATATTAAGGCAAATTAATACATTTGTAGCAGTTAATGAGAAACAGATTTCTTGTTATTTCCCAGGATGCTTAGGGGCAAGTTTTTGTATCCTCTGTGGCACCATCAGGAGCTATGCTTACCTGAGCAAAATTTCCCCCAATCCAATCTAAATTTTGACTGATGAAATATAAAATCTCTGTTTACATTAAATTAAATGATCCAAACAGGACATGTGTATACATATACCAAATGTTCAACCAGATTAAATAATTTGAGCATGCGCAGAGCTTTCAAATATTCCAGAAAGGATTTAGTAGCAGAAGAAGAAGCTGCCTTTCCACTCATCCTCAATTTTAGCTACTCTTTATGCCCTCCTCTCAAACTTCTTTTTTTAAATCATGTCTGTTAATGTAGTTTTTTCCATGATGGACCTTCTTTACATCTTTGTATCCATACTGTTGTTTTTGGTGCAGTACCTAATGCTAACGCTTCTTCACTAAAGAGGTACAGGGCAGGATGGCATGTTACTTTTGGTGCCAAATCCTCCAGCAAACGCAAGGAGCCTGTTGATGAAGTTAGGAGTAAAGATAAAAATGTGACGCTGAACTAGCACACATGCACAGTGGAGATTATTTTGCTTCAGGTATTCAAATGCTTGTATACATAGACACAAATCGGAATGACGATTGGAAAAACAAAACAAATTTTTCTCAATCAGAATGAAAGTTCTTTCTGATCAGACCAAATCAGGTTCAAATCTTCAGTCGGACACGTTTCCATTTTTGATCTGATCAGGCCTTCAATCCCATTATTTGTGTCCATGTAAGCATAGGTAGTGAGACGGAAGTGTGTCATTTATTTAAAAGTTTGATTTTGTTCAGCTGTTAGACTTTCTCATTATTGATCCTAACCAATGCACAGCTCTTAAATTTGATTTTTTAAGTTGAGGTGGTTCAACTTATTAATTTATTTATTTGATGTGAGAAAAAATAAAGAAATTAGATGTTGCAAGGTATTTCATCCAGTTATGTCAACCATTTCCACTAAACCAGGTTTTTTAACTGCAAGATGAGTGTATTACTGTATATTCCATCAGTGAAACCCAATAACTAGAATACGACTAACTAATAATAGTTAAACTGAACTTAACTGGCATAAATGCACCAATAATAGGCATTAAATCAAATTAGTTTAGTGGAGCTGGATGAAATAACTTGGTTAAGTAAATGTACATATAATTTCATTAAAGATTCCAAAACATTGTGGGAGTCAATTTGATTTTGTGACAGTGCCCCAGTGATCTTCAGGGGGCTAAACCTGGAAGGTGACATGACCCTGGAGGCTAAAATCTAGACTGTTGCTTTAAGGAGATCATTAAGCATTCCATCCAATGTCTGGCAAAGTCGATAGTACTTTTTTTCATGATGAAACCTTTTACAGCTTTGTCTATAAAAGCTATAGCTTAAGTAAAAAAAAAAAACAAAGTCAAAATACCCAATATATCAACTAAATGTAAACATATCTATTCTATTTTGACATCCCACACTACACAATGATAAAATGTAAATGCAAATACTTAAGAGAGGCTATTGAGAGGAAAGCAGATGTATTAAGAGGGAAGGAGCACTTGCTTTGACTGATAGAGGGGGCAGTCGAGGGGTTGCAGCACGGCAGCAGCTTGAGGAATCGCTGCTTTATGGTTTTTTTGCTTTGACTGGTGGAGGGGTTACCTGCAATCACCAACCATAGCACAACCGTTAGAGATGCATACAGAGGTCAGTCAATTTACTTCTTGAGTAACACGTCTGTAGAACAAACACAAAAATAGCATCCAACAAAAAATACAATAACAACAATAATGATGCCAATAGTGGCATTCTGGCTTGGCTGAGCAAAGGGAGACCGTGTTTATTTGTGTCCTTGTATGTATGCTTTCATAAATCATGTAATTTTCCCTGCACAAAGAAATGCCATCACTTGGTTATAACAAGTTAAATACTCCTTTTAAACAATTATGGATTATATTGTATCTGGCAGCAAGTTATTTCTGCAGTAAATTATGCATTCTCATTGGTTATAATGTTGGAAGACGTGTTTTGTGGTTAGCAAAAAATTTTTTATCTTCTTTAGAAGGGCCTAATAATACATCGAAGAATCTAAGCCGAAAACATCTCATTACAATTCTGTTACTATACAAAATTGGATGAAAAACTGTCCAACGCATTACTTAAAACTGATAGGCTTATAAGGGAATAAAGGGCTGTTAATGGTGATCACTTAAATATTTGGTAAAATTATAAAACAGCAACGGCAGAGCTCATGGATATATCGTCTGTAGGAACATTTCCAAATACAAATACAGCTAAATAGAATGTGGCTAAGCAGCTCTGCAGTCTGAAGAAATCAAGGCTTAAAAGAAAAGAAATTCCAATATGCTAAAAATTAGAAATAAGACTTGACTTTGGAGCTGTTGAGGCTGACATGCTCTGATGAATCCAGAATTTCCCAATTTTCAGAACTGAGGTAAGAAGAGCTGCATACAAAGTGATGCATCCATCATGAAAAGCAAAGAGCGATGTCAGCAGACAGGCGTACTCCAGGATCCAAATTCCAGAATTAATTGGGCTTAATTTCTGCAAAGGCCACGAGGTTATCATTTTCACTCATAGTCGAGTACATAGCAGACCTGCTTTCTATTCATCTCTACAAGATCTTTGGCGAAAAATCGAATCAGTGCTTTGAAATTCCTCTGTATTTTTTAGGTTGTGTCTGTGCTCCAGATACGAGTTGGCTGTCTCAACAAAATGTCGTTATGGTCTCATGATGTCATTAGATATTCTTTCTTCTCTGGAAAAAAGAAAAATAAAAAAAAGTAAAAAATGTGTGACATTGTTGAAGGTAAATAAAAAGACGGGGATGTGTGCCTTAAAACAGGGCAAACGCAGGTCCAACAACGTGTTGAAATTTATCAATTTCTTTCACTGGAAGCGAGTAGTATCAGTGCTAAATATTAAATATGATAATATAAACAAAAAAATTCTCACTTAAGTTCATCCTATAAAATAATTTTGAAGTGATGGACGAAATGTTTTACCCGAAGACCAGAAACCAACTACTGCATAGTAACAATGCCTTCAGTATCTATAAAAGATACTGAATGAAGCCATCTATTTTAAGAGAGCAAAACCAACCTTAAACAGTGGGGAAGGACTCAGATTTCAGCTTTCAAAAACCTCCAATACAGCAATTGAGTTGATCCCTTCCTGCTATCATCGCAACCCCAACAACTGTACAGGAGAGCAGAAGAACTCGCCTGTTCAGCCAGGCCAACATTTACCTTTAATGACCCCCCTTTCAGAGACTTAGACAGGTATGGAGCATTTCAGGCTAACAAAAGAAGCCAAACGACCCCCATTCCAAAGGGGTGGACCCATTCGTCCGTTTCAATTTGCATGCTTCAAAACAAAAACAAGGTTTTGAAGGGCTACATCTATAAAACCTTGAACTAAACACTATTCCTGACATTTTGAATCGAAAAAGCTTCCTTAATGGGACTGGAAATGTCTTCAAACTTGGAAACAAAGTCCAGTGGATTGCTTTTTATGAAGGAGAACCTATAAAAGACCAACAAATGATAAAAAAAAATACATACCATTTGTGTGAAAAGATATGGAAACATAGCTTTTATGATGTGTCATTTTTTTGTCTCTTAGAAGCCCGGAGCTGAGGGGACTATTGCCTCCTTCAACTGTGACATTATTTGCAAATAGAGGATGTGGAGTACATTTCCCCATATCTGGCAGATTCATCCATTCTACTGCCTAAGCACAGGCCCAACCCTGGCGCCTTGAGCTGTTTGTACAGGTAAGCAATTTATCTTTCTCTACATGAACCTGACAACAGACCGTATCACAAAATTAGAAGAAGAGACTTTAAAAATTTATGAAACTACCACAGAAGAAAGAGGGAATTTATAAAAGGCAAATGATCGTAGAGTAAGATGTAGTAAATTCATATATGATCTTAAAATCAAACAAGCTAAAGGAAAAAAAAAGATCACATGGAGGTTTAATTACATCGGTTATTGTTCCAACGTCTTTTCTGGAGCTCTTTAAAAAACATTGAATAACAAAACTTCTTTTGTTTCATGATTTTTGCTGCTCCTTCTGACTCTGCGAGGCTCACTGAGCCTAAAATACTTTCAAGAACCATCAAAGCTGATTCACCAGAAAAACTCTCTGTGATAAGATATGAATAATCTATTTCCTCTGTCAGCGCCTCATAGCCTGCACTCCATCTCCTCCGTCTGTCTCTCTACTTTCTTTAACTGCCAAAGTACCATGATAAATGTGTGCTCAGCTACCTTTGATGTTACTTTTCTTCTAACAATGACAGCCAAAATTATTTTTTCATTCTGATCTGAGACAAAAATAAAAATATAAAAAATGCTCCTGCCTATGCTTTTTGACTGTTATTGGATTATTAGTATTCAGTGGGGCATGTCTCAATGGAGTGATTCTTGTAATGAGTTAAGCATAATATAAAATTTGTGTTCCTTTACCTAACACAATGTAGGAAAACATGAAATCTGAAAAGATCAAAGGGTGGGTTAAAGCTATGAGATAAAAAAAAATAAGATAAAACAACATCACAAATCAGGAAAGTAAGTGAATTTAAAAAAGTAAATCTTTTGAAGGATATTTTTGATTAAATGCTTAAATCTTCCAACCAGAAAGCCCTTAATCTACCATGCAAGCTGTGTCTTGTGTCCTGGTGGCACTCTGGCTATGACATATTGCATGGACCCATATTGTCAGTTCAGCTTCCCAGATATTTATAACGGAGGAACTTATGATCAGGAAATCTTTGCTATTGATTTAAAAAAACAATGTAAAAATTAAATCATGATCTGTTTTCTTGAGGCATTATTACTTCATTGACTGGGCAAAGAGCATTTCAGAATACTATAGATATTGGGGCGGTCCTTTTAAAATTTGTATTGTTACTGATACTAGTATTTAAACAAAAAAGAGAATATTAAAAAAAATGATTAATATAAAAAATATATTAAAAGTTAAATAAAAATATAAAAATAAAAAATATTAAAAGTTAAATAAAAAAATGTATAAGTGGATAAAAAAAATGAATATGCAACTATTGTTAACTGACTGAAAAAATTATTTATTATAAAGTAATTCATCATTCTAACTGAAGCATTTCAAGTGATTTTTTAAATGATTTTAAACTTGAAACTAATATTATCTTTTATTTGATATCTTTTTGATATCAAATAAATGATAATTCTTCCAGCTTCACTTAGGCAGCACAGAAAGTGTGTTGGAAATTGGGCTCACAGGACTTCGTGTTTTACTCCAAAGAAACACACGCACATACCACGTCCATAATCACACACATTTATTCTGACTCCTGCCAGCTGTGTTTCCCCGATGTACCATCCCTTTATTAAATATTTTTACAACCTCTAGGATTCCTGCTGATTCCTAAACATTTCCTTACCTGCAACAGAGATGTCGATAAGCCCCAGAAAGTGCATCAGTTTGAGGGAGCTGCAGACCACCAGGAGGATGCCCACAGTCTGCAGCCCCTCCACCTCCCACTTGTCTCGGAAGAACAGATACATCTTTTCCTGTTTTCCTTTCCCTTTGTTCCTGTTCACTCAAATCTTACGCTTGGCTTACGGGAGGCGAGCACCACGTGGACACCCCTCGTTCCTTCAGATTCCATACAGGAATGTGCCGTCTTAGTCTCTCAGTCCCCCTCTATCTGCCAATGTCCAACCATCCTGGATTTGCATCCAACCTTATTTATTTTTTCACTGAAAACAGATTTTTATTCCTTGCTTCTTCTTCCAAAGCAGAAGGTAAAAGCCGATACCGATTCAATCCTCTGCATCCAGCAAGCCTGTCAAAGGTGTTTTATCTTCCAGGTGAAGTTCGGACAATTCCCTGTATAGGTCCTGACAGGTTGGTGGCAATTTTTTCAGACTCTCTGTTTCTCCAGATTCTGACTCTAAAACTCTCTCCACTCTGTGCCTCAGCTCCGTCACTCCGCTACTTTCCTTGTCCCTCCCACACTTAATTGGGTCAGTGATGGGGATGAGTAAAAGAGGAAAGAGGAAAGGGATCATACATATAAGCGAAGGAAATGGTGGGGGAATACTACTTATAGTTGATGAGCTGAAACAAGATACCATGAGGCTGGAAAAATTGAATAAAACAAAAGAAAAGATGAGGCAATGTATTAAGGAAAGGAGGGACATAACAGCAGTGAGGAGAAAATTCACTAAGACTGCTGAGAAGAAGAAGTATAAAAAGTCAAAGATTATGAGGACTGGAGTAAAATCGTCACAAAATAAATCCAAAGCATCTGACCTGGTAGCCGTCGTGGGCAAACTCACAGATGTGGCAATCTCCCCTGAGCACAAACTCGACACATGTTCACAGACAGGAGGACAACATGGAGGTGAAAACTAGGCAACATGTATAGCATACGCAATGCAGCACAGAGCTGCCCATGGGATGGGACAAGAGATCCTGCTGGTACACATGGGTTGCTAAAATTCTCTCTTTCTCTCTCTCCATCCATCCATCCATCCATCCATCCATCCATCCATCCATCCATCCATCCATCCATCCATCCATCCATCCATCCATCCATCCATCCATCCATCCATCCATCCATCCAGTTCCTATTTAGAAACTGAATTGAA